TGCTGTTCATTGGAGCTGCAGACTTGAGTTCCTCCATCCATGATAAATGAGCTGTGTCTTCTTTTTACAAAGTTATTGGAGTTCATCATGTGTCTTGCTTCATCTTTAATTTGAATTTATCTCGTGACCTACCCAAATTGAATTGAGAGTTTTCTGCTGGGGTTAGTTCAACAAAATATCCAATATCTACTAGAACATACTATCGGCTCAAAAATTAACCTAGACACCACGTCTAATTTGATTAAGGAAGACATTTTAACCTAAGCATAATACTTAATTTAAAAGCCTTTGGAAGTACGATCATGTAACACCTCTGATATTACGAGCTTGCTTAGCACCTAGGTTAATGCCTAAGAGAAATTAGCAAAATAAGTTTTTGGGTTTAAAAATTTAAAGCACGTATGGAATTATAAACGAATCTTGTGTGACTCGCTTTCGTGAATAAAACAAACAAATAAGTGTCGCTAGTCAACTTGTCTCGGTGCTGAACAACTTTTAAATAACTAGGTAGCGTGCTCGTGCGTTGCTACGAGATAGCTAACAATTTATACTAAAAATATACGGATCGCATGATAAGATAAATATCAACATTAAAGTTACAGTTAATCCAAAAAGCAAAGTTTGTGAAATTAATAGTCACGGAGAGCGTGGCGTCACAGGCTCACAAACTTTACCGTATTTATATCGGCAAAAAGAAATCTCCGATATCTATTTCTTTCGTGTGCTCATAAATCCACGATAAGTTCCGCCGCATCTCCATACCATCCTGTAAACAAGTTCGAGTATATGTAAAAAATATTAGTGTCTTTCACATGGGTAATACTACGTGTCTTGAAAAATCTCTCACAAAACATGAAAAATCTTTCACAAAACCTTAAAACAAAGTATGTTATATCACCGTATAGTGCCCACGCCGTCGAACTCGTTGTACACAGGCCAAAGTCAAGGTCTGTGGGATACAACCCGACACTTTACTACTGCAGCTCTAATTACAATAAAATTTGAATGTTTCACTTCAAAGAAAATAGCTGAGTGTTCCACTTCAAACAAACACAGATTATGATGACACAACTCTAGAAAACCATTTTAAAAGATCCTTCGTAGCATGCAACAATAGAATAGCATAACAAAAACTTACAACGATGAAAATCTTTCACTGTATTCTTTGAATTAGGAAAACAGGAACTTAAAAAAACATGAATGTTATAAAACGTAGGTTTCCATGAGTATCAATCAAAATAAAAATAAAACATGAATTGTTAAATAGGCTGAGAAGCAATGTTTTGCTTACATTCATATTCATTTTCCTCGCAAAAAAAATTCATATTCATTTGCTTACAAAATCCAAATTTCCAGTGCTACTATTTGTTCATGCCTTTCAATGTTTGTTCACCCCAACAACATTTGCAGATACATGAAGTCTAGAAATCTAAGTGTTTTGTAGCATCACATAGCAGTCAATGAAGTTCAGGAGTGGGGCTCTAAAAAAAATGTTATCTAAACTCCCTCTTAATGAAAAACGTGCAATGGTACATTCACAAAAAATATTATATTCATAAATCAGTTTTGAAGCAAACCTGGTAAACAAATTTAAAGCAACATGTGAAGAATGGTTTCATGTAATTATATCAATTTTGCCTATGTATGTGAGCGAATGGGCAAACTCTGAGTTCTTAAATATTTTTTAGTGCACCCGGTCATCTTTGTTAAGGTCCGCTCTTGAGACAAGCAGGTACTCTAGTGCGTAGGAAATTGAGGGAATAAATCAACGACCTTATGTTTAATCTCCATGAATTTAAAAGATGATGCCAACCCATAATTCAGTGATATATATACTGAAGAAAGCTATCTATAGATCTCAACCATTTCATCTGCACTTCTGAAGTTCTAACCTGATTTATTTCTTTACTTGAACTCTAGATCATATTTCCTTTCTGCAAAGAGTTGGAGAACATAGTCATTAGTAGGATGGACTGTTAATATAACAATCATCCCAATATTAAAAAGTTGATAATCGACCTTTACAGGAAGGGGAAGGGAACAACAACACCAGGCAACAGACTTGAAAAACAAATCTGTAGAAAACAAATTTCATAATTGACTTTTGGTTCTTGCGCACAACTGCATACTGTAGATTGCTCTATCTGTAGAACAAATTTCAGAATTCACAGTATGGTGTTCGAGAAAAAAAAATCCACAATATGCATTAACTACAAATTAATTTGTCTCCTATCGCAGTTCCATAAGGATGGCGAAAGAGGAGAGGAAATTAATTAGGCGATTGGATGCTAGCTGATGTGTCCTTACATGGCTCATCGAGGCAGGGGTGAATGCAAGATGCGAAGGGCATGATGGCCTAAATCTCCATCATGATCTCCTTGTCGCCCTTCTCCTTGATAGCCCTGACGAACATCAGAAGAAGATGCAATCAAGCCATGACACATGTGGCACTGGCCACTTACCGATTGATTAGGGTCCTAGGAAGAGAGTGAAGAAGTGGGGATAAGAGTAAGGGCGGCCCACCCCTTCTCGATGACCTCAGCGTCTATGATGATGTTGAAGTCCAGCGCTCTAGCACACCTCGCTGGTGGGTTGTGGCCTTGCTCATGATCACCAGCTTAACCCACTGCATCTTCCCGGCCTCCAACCATTCTGCAACATTTAGTTTCAAACAAAAGATCTACAAGCCGTAGTATACAAATTTTATGGAAAGAAAAAACTACACAGCGGCAAGAAATTCCATGTACTGGAAGCTACAGGAAGACAATACGTTTGGGATCTTAGATATGATCATATGAATCCCATTTTCAATAAGATTGATTTCACGACTTCCCACCAGCAGACCTCAATTGTACTATTAAATCAATAGTGGTGGTCTCCCTGATAATATCTCCTTAGTTTGAGCAGTGATTCACCACGACAGTGACCGATTCAGAACTGAGACAGAATCGCGACAGAACATAATGTGATTCAGGAAGAAAGGATAGGGCACGCAAGAAAAGAATGGGAGATTAGGATGAACCTTGGTGCTTGCGCATGGTCTACACCGCTGACCACTCCTCAGCATGTGCGCTACCACCGCCGCTCGGCCCACGCGATGCCGTCGCCGCTCCCCGGCCCTTGCGATGTCACCGCAGCAGCTAGCGCATTTTGCCTATGACGCTCCTAACTCGATGACGATGGCGACGAAGCCCCGCAGCGTGATGATGTCCTTGGACGCTGTCGCGACATCACTTTGGTCTCCACTTCTCCTCGCTCAGACGGAAGGGATCGCAACCACATAATCGTAGGTGATTTTTGTTTCCTTCTTCATTCGCCGGGATAGTCGCCGTCGTGGGGTCCACTTCATGCTCCCTCGCGCAAGCTAGGGAAACCGGGCAGGCGAGCGAGCGAGGGAGAAAAGAGAATTGTCGGTGATTGTGTGGGGCGCCGGTGTTTCCTTTATTCTCACGGTGATTACCTCCAACTTCCATCTATTCTAACACGCGATTTTTGTTTCCTTCTTCATTCGCCTTGATTTGGCGTTTGCCTTCCATGCACGGGTGGGATTTCATTTTAGCTCTTTCCTTTTAAATATCGCAAGGGACGGCCACGCGTCGGAGCCAGGATGCGGGAACGCAACAGGCAGGACGGTGGACCCACGTTGAAATGTCGCACCAAAAAGTGTCCACGCTTTGTTCTTTTTAGTTGTAGGAGATCTTGTGGACAAAAGTTGTTTAGGGCTTGTTTTGGAAAAGTACGAAGAAAGTGCTTAAAAATACCTGATAGCAAATAAATAGCGAATGACTTGTTTATTTGATTTAGCATGAAAAGCAATTTTTATAGAGCAAAAATAATATAGAACATGTGTTGAGGTTTAAATAAAAATTGAAGTACAAGTTTTGTAGTGGAAAATGCAACTTTGGTTTTGGAGAACGAATATTGTTAACTAGGGTTTTTGCCGGCTCAAAAATCGAATTTAAAATTTAAAAACCAACTTCTCGCGTCAACGGTAAAAATCTGAAATTATATTTAAAAGCGTTGTTTGTGGCGATTTGTTTTGTGCAAAATAATTACATAACACCCTAATATTTTGTTCCATGGCTTGGTATGGAGTAAGAGCTATCGCGTGAAATGTTTATTGGTGGAAGTCAATAGAATTTAGATCTTTTGAAGTTGCCGACAAAGTGTTGTTGTTCACATCCGCGTCGCGTCGTCTCACGCACAGGCACGCAGCCAGCAGAGCCACGTGACGCCCATGTGTTCGGCTGCAGCGTGCTCCCTCGCGTCCGTGCTCTGGCGCGCGTTATAGAGGAGGAGCCGTGCCGCTGCTGCCTCGCGCACAGGCCGCGCGAAGGGGCACCATGTGCTGTGCCGTAGCGCATGGAACATGCACCGTCCTTGCTGCTGCCGCGCTGTCCCTGCGTTCACCCTCAAGTGGAGGCCGAGCCCAACAACAACGGCTAGACATCACGGTGAAGACAAAGCAAATGTCTTTTCATGTACAAGTAGCATGTCTGCCTCAAAATTTTGTATGATCTACGTGATATTCGGTCCTACAGGTACCCTTAGGCCAAATGTGATGAGTCTCATCACGTTTTTTGTTGTGGCAAGACATTGTTGTGATGTTCATTTGTGGTGTGAAATGGCCCCATCACTGTCATAAAATAGTTATTGATGTAACTCGACTAGCGCCCCCATTTTGTGTGTATGTATATTTCCTCCGTCCCAAAAGAAGTATCATTCTCTCTGGTCGAAGAGTCAAACAATTTTAACTTTATCAAATATATACAAAAAAATATATTAATATTTATAGTACATAATTAGTATAGATATATCGTAGAATCTATTTTTATAAACTTATTTGAAGACGTAAATGTTATTAATATTTTTATAAATATAGTTAAACTTAAGAAAAGTTTGAGCGACACTTCTTTTTGCGACAAAAAGCACAGTATAACTTAAACCACCGCACTCCAATGCATATATAGTAGAAACAAAAACACGTCCACCACATTCTTATGGAGCTACCAGTACCATGGAGTTCTCTCATCGCCGTGGCGCTGTTCCTTGTAGCCGTGCTCCTTCGCCGGCGGCGGTCCAGCTCCAGCAAGTACATGCTGCCGCCGGGCCCTCGGCCATGGCCGGTGATCGGCAACCTGAACCTGATCGGGCCACTCCCGCACCGCTCAATGCACGAGCTCTCCACGCGGTACGGGCCACTCATGTCGCTGCGGTTCGGCTCCTACCCCGTCGTCGTCGGCTCATCCGTCGACATGGCGAAATTCTTCCTCAAGACCCACGACCTGGCGTTCCTCGACCGCCCCGCCGTGGCCTCGGCTAGGCACATCCTCTACAACGGCTCCGACGTGCTGTGGGCGCCGTACGGTCCGTACTGGCGCCAGGGGCGCAAGCTGTACCAGAACGAGCTCCTCAGCGCGAGCCGGATCAAATCGACAGAGCATATCCGCATCGAGGAGGTGCGCTGCATGCTGCGGATGTGTCGGCGGCCGCGTCCCGCGACGGAGGCGCGGTGGTGCGGCTCAGGACCACCTCTCCATGGCGAGCTTCAACGTGGTCTCGCGCATGGCGCTAGGCAGGAAGTACATCTTCGACGGCGCCGGCTCGCTGATGCCGCCGGAGGCGTTCCGGTGGATGATCCAGGAGTTCTTCTTCCTCAACGGCGTGGTGAACGTCGGGGACGTGATCCCGTGGCTCAGCTTTCTGGACCTGCAGGGGTACATCAAGAGGATGAAGAGACTGAGCAAAATGATCGACCCGTTGCTCGAGCACGTCCTGGTCGAGCACAGTGAGCGGCGACGGCGACAGGGCGAGGGCTTTGTGCCGAGGGACATGGTGGACCGGCTGCTACAGCTCGCTGACGATGCCAACCTGGAGGCTCCCATCGAGCGGGATGGCATCAAGGCATTCATTCTGGTAAAGACTTCACTTTCTTTCACTCCATCTGCTGGTATATATATGTCACAGAGAGATGATCGATCGACGCGCGTGAATGCCGGCAGGACATCATCGCCGCTGGCGCGGATACCTCAGCGGTCGCCACCGAGTGGGCTCTCTCGGAACTTCTAAGGAATCCCGAGGCCATGGCCAAGGCCACGGGCGAGCTGGACCGTGTCGTCGGCGGTGGCAGGCTGGTCACGGAGGAGGACATCCCGCGCCTCCCGTACCTGGATGCTGTGGTGAAGGAGACCTTGCGCGTGCACCCGGTCGCGCCGCTGCTCGCTCCCCGGCTGTCCCGCGAGGACACCTCCGTGGGTGGCTACGATATCCCGGCCGGCACCCGCGTGTTCGTTAACGTCTGGGCCATTGCCCGCGACCCTGCTCTGTGGGGGGACGCCTCGGAGGAGTTCCGGCCGGAGCGCTTCGTCGGGAGCGGAGTGGACGTGAAGGGCCACGACTTGGAGTTCCTGCCGTTTGGGTCCGGCCGCCGGATGTGCCCGGGCCTCGGCCTCGGGATGAAGATGGTGCAGCTGATGCTAGCAAACCTTCTTCAAGCCTTTGCATGGAGGCTCCCCGACGGCGTGGGTGTGGACGACCTGAGCATGGAGGAGAAATTCGGGCTGTCCATGCCGCGAATGGTCCCGCTTGAGGCCGTACCGGAGCCCAAGCTCCCTGCTCACTTGTACGATGGGCCATGTCCATGACTCAGCCACGCACATATGCACGCTTGTCTGCCCGCTGCAATCTGCATCTGCTCTGGAAGTATGATGTCGACTACTCGACTGTATGTTTTTGTGCTCCTAAAAATCTGTAAGTCTCGTTGGTTGTGATAGCCTGCATAAGGGTCTAGCATTAATGGATATCCAATTTAGCATAGCCTTATACTTTTCGAGTAGTATTTGGTTGTCTTGCATTTTGATTTTGCACCGTGGCCATTTATAAATGGGAAGGCCTAGCGCCCAGACGTTCGGCCCAGGCTCGCGTTCGGACGCCTGCAACCGCCTCGCATCGGACGCACCCCTGCGCTTGCATCAGATCCCCTGCCAGCGACGAAATCGCATCCGGCCACCCACGACCGATCCCACGCCAGTGACCGCAGTCGACCATCCGTGACTTGTTGCACCCCCGCCGTCCGTAACACAATCCCCATCCGGTTGCACCCCCGGCGTCAAGCCCGCCGCGCTCCTTCCCCCGCCACACCGCGCTCCTCCCCACGATGTGGCGCCATCGCCGCCGTGCCCCCGTCCTCCACCACGCTCTGTCTCGGCCGTTCCCCTTCCCTAGTCCTATTGTATCATCTCCTTTGCAACATCCGTCCGACCATTGTAACATATGCAGTGTACTATTGAAACATACTTGTATAATCATTACAACATCTAGACGAAACACATGAGACATGTGTTTGAAACATTTGAAACATACATTTGCAACATACATCTAAAACAGATGAAACATGTGGGACATACACTTGAAACATACGTGTGTAGCCATTGCAACATATGCAACATTAGATCCTTTAGCAACATCAAATGAAACACATGAAACATACAGATGAAACACATTAAACATACAGATGAAACGCGCGAAACATACGTCTCAAACAACTGAAATGTTTGAAACATATACTTGCAACATACGTATGTAGCCATTGCAACATACGCAACATACAGATGAAACACTTGAAAATAACTTCTGAAACACAGTTGAAACAAACACATGGCGCCGCCGGCAGCCATGGCCAACCTGGTGGGGAACTGCGGTAGCCAGTAAATGGCGCTCGGGTGCAGTGGAGAGGGAGGATGGCGGCAGGCAAGCGGCTGGGTGTGGTGAACAACGCCACGCTGGAGCAGTCAAGCAGTCACTGTGGACCACGCCGTGTCGGCTTGTAGAACTCGGCGGCGAGTGGTGAGTGGCAGTGGGGAGACAGGAAAGCAGGCGGCGGTAGCACGGTCGCGGTGGAGCAAGCTGCGGCGATGCGGGCATGGAGACTTGGTTCGAGAATGGATGGGGAAACAACGGCAATTCGAGAAGAAGGTGCGAGCGGCGATTTTTTATTTTTATTTCCGTGCGGATGGCAGTGTTGCCTGTTGGGCCGTTCTAGCGTCGAGGCCCACCAACGTGTGTCCGGACAAAACGGACTTCCTAGCCACCGCATTATCGTTTATAAATATATATAACTATATTTATATCCAATTATTAAAGTACAAATCAGAATGTATTCGTTGTCCTTCACTCTCTCTTATACCTGTACTATAACACCTCATGTGTTAAGTATGTGTTAAACGTGATCATTAAGCACTACACTAAACAGGTTGCCAGACCATCACTATCGGGTATGTTGCCTTTTACCGTTGGTTCATAAGCCCATATGATTCAGAAAATTCCGGAGAAGTTATTCACCCGGCACCCGGTAGTGAAGGCTATCACTATCGAATCAAGACACAAACCATAAGTAATAAGTGTGATATCACTATCGGCTAAGGTTATCATTATCAGTTCATGGCTTGACCCAGCAATGATATGAAATTATCACTGCCGAGTTTTGAGAGCTTAAGGCTTATAGTTTCCCTGTCTAAGTCTAAGCCTGTACTGGTAGAGATCCACAGTGCAGAGAATCAGACCTCTGATGTGTTAATCTTTCTTATGTAAGAACTAGATCTTGTTGGTGGAGGAATAAAGCAACCATTCCTCGTATATCTGAGTTCTTGCTTTGTGTTCTCGAATCGTTTAGGTTTTTCCTCTCCCGAACCCCCTTCTCTTGCGTTTTGGGTGATTTCGTTTTTCTAGAGATTTGAGACCGATTGGGTGGCTAGAGAACATATCTACCAACCCATTTGGTCAGATTCCTCACGAGCACAATTTGGCGGGATTTTTTAGCAAAGTTGAGAAAACCCCAGCTCGGTTCATGGATTTCTAGATCCTCAGAGTTCCCTTGATCTTTTGGGCTTGATCTTCTAGGAATATCTTCTTGACATCTTCTTCTACCTCTGTACCAAATTTGGAGTCAATCAGACTTGATTTGGGTCGATTTCCACTTTTGGGAGGAATATTTCCGGCTGTTGGTAGGCAAAGCCGGCCAGGCCATGTTCTATAATTGATAATAATTCTCTGGTCATCACCGAGAACATTCAAACACCAGTTGGCTCGAGGGCATCACTCTTGTGTGATTTCATGTTTTGGAGTGTTGTTTGGGACAACGACCATTTCGGAAGAAATTTTGATTGGCTCTCATTCAAACCAGCACCCCCACCCCATCCCTCCTCTGGTTGTCTTTCTCGGTCCTTCAAGAAGTCATGATTTGTAAATGTCTACAAGTAGCTACAAGCATGGTTTGTCCATACGTTATACATTCAACACAAGTTGATGGTCAAATAAAAACATTTCAAAAATATATTAAAATGGGTCTTCACTACCGGAAGCGTTAAATTTGCCGAAAGTGTTTTTTATATTTGCCGAGTGTATTCTCTCGGGCACTTTCGGCAAACAAGTTTTTCACGAAAGTGCTGGGCTAAAACACTCGGCAAAAAAAAACACTCTCAGTAAAGAGGAGGTTTGCGAGAGTGTCAAAAAAAACATTTGGCAAACTCCCTGTTTGCCGAATGTTTTTTTTGACACTCAGTAAAGAAATAAAATCTTTTTTCTAGGAAAAAGGAGAATAAAAAAATATATAAAAAAACTTTGCTGAGTGGCCAGATCTAGGACACTCAACAAAGAAAAAAATATTTTTTTTCTAGAAAAGAAAGAGAAGAAAAAAAAAAAAAAAAAATTTACCGAGTGCCCAGATCTAAGACACTCGGCAAAGGAAAAAATTGTTTTTCTGAGAAAGAAAAAGAAAAAAAAAAAACTTTGCCGAGTGCCCAGTCCAGGACACTCGGCAAAGTAAAAAAACTATTTAATTAACCGCCGTCGCCCCTCCACTCCCTTCCCTCAGCTCCCCTCCCTCCTCCTAGAACCGCCCGCTCCCCTCCCTCTCCCAGATCCGCCCGCCCACGCCGCTCCCCTCCCTCCTCCCAGATCCACCCCCTCCCTCCCCTCAGCTCCCCTCCCTCCTCCCACATCCGCCCGCCAGTGGCGCTCCCCTCATCTCCGGTGGCTTCCTCCGGCTCCATGGCCGGTCGCCGACGCGAGCTCCTCTCCGGTAGCTTCCTCCGACGGCGCTTCGTCCCCTGCTCCATGGCATGTCGCCGGCGCGAGCTCCTCTCTAGTGAGCGCGCAAGCCATCGTCGCCGGCACGAGCTCCTTCCCCGGCGGGCGCGCAGGCCATCCTCGGCGGCGCGCAGAGCCTCTGCCCCATCCCCGACAACTGGTGATTCAAGAGGAAGAAGAAGAGTTGTGTGGTGTGGGATCCGGTGGCGTCCCCGACGCGGCCCTTTCACATGGAGGCGAAGCGCGCCCTGCCTCGCACGGCGCGCTTCCCAATGACAATGAGCTCCGGCCTGCCACCTGCCAGTGGTGGTGGTGGTGGTGGCGGCGGGACTTGTTTTTTTTCCTAAAAAAATGTTTGCCGAGTGTTTTTTCTGGACTCGGCATAGTCTTTGCTGAGTGCCCGATGTTTGACACTCGGCAAACAGCTCTTTGCCGATAAAAATTTGTCGAGTGTCGTTTGTCAAGTGTAACACTCAGCAAACACTTTGCCGAGTGTTTTTGGGGCTGATACTCGGCAAAGCTCGTGTATCCCGTAGTGATGCTTATTTTGTAGATCTCATTTCAAGTAAAACAATTACTCAAATGAATTTGAAGATATATTCTGTATGTGAGAGTTATTATCAATTATAGAAATACATCAAGTTTTAATAAATTGGCATCAGCTGCAAGGCGTGTGTTTTATCCTTTGCAATTAGTTCTGCTCCCATGTAAAGCCCTCCTGACATCAGCGGTGATACAGGTGCCAAAGGGGACATGATGGCATCCTCAACAATATAGTCAATTTGCTATCTCATATGAACTTAAAAAACAAAAATAGAGTAAGCTAACATGCTAATATAGAAAAATGTGTAATATATAGACACATGGATCATAGGAAAGTATGTGAGCTTAACTCTTTATGAAGAGCTAGCTTATCATTCTCTCTGCTTTTTATTGATAAAATATTCTACAAGCTATAGATCTTTTTAATACTGTTGGAGCTACCTAGAGTTTTGAGTGTTTTGGTAACAGTACACCCATTGAAGTTTTATTCAGTTTTAAGTGTTTTAGTAACACAGTGCACGCTGGGTTTCATCCAAATGAAACTCATCTCCTCTCTTTCCTCGTAATTTCTATGTAACATCATCATTTTTACTGATGTGTCGCCTCATTAAATAGGAAGAAAACTCTCATTGGAACTAGCCTAATAACTAAAACAACATAGTGCAAGATCGATACAATAACAAAAAAAAAAGTTCAAACAGTAGGGCCGTTGAGAAAGAGGGAGACGACGAGATCCTTGAGGTCGGCAGCAAAGGTGTAGGCATCTCTGCCGCCAAGGTATATGACCTCCAGCGTCTTGGTCAGGTTCACCGCCAGCTGCGCGGCCGGCAACATCGCGCTATCCATCTCCATGCACGACCGGTTAATCGTCCTCCACGCGTGCTCCGCCATCCCCGCGATCGCGGTCACCGCCTCCTCCCCTGACGTGCCATGCATGCTCCTTGGCGTAGCATTCCACGGAGCTTGCCACGTCCTTCTTGTTCTTCCCCTTCTTGTACGAAGCGATGTCGTTGAGGAAACGAGCGACCTCTCCACTGGCGGTGACCACGTCCGGGACGCCGATCTCCCACTGGAACGCCTCCCTGGTCGCCATGTCACCTGCACCCATAAGCAGCACCACGGCTAGTGTTGGGAAGCCTGACGACATGACAGACACCTCCATGTGCTCTTTGAAGCTCGGCGCGTATTTCTCACTGCACCATTTGGCCTCGTCCAGATAGTACTTTGATGACAGTTTAAACTGCGAGAAATTAATTAAACAAATTAATATTCATGTATCACTAGTGCTTCGTACCAACGTACATATGAACAAAACAAAGTACACCATACGTTTAAATATACACTTTAATTGATCGATGTATAATAACTTTTCTTACCGCTTGCTTTGCATAGGATACGCGGTACTTCTCATTTGGCTGCAAACTATGCTCAAACTCTTGAAAGCTCCTCACAAGATTGATGTAGAACATTTTCATGTACTCTGGAAGAATGGAAGCAGTGGTTTCATCCCATCTGCGCGCAGACAAGACACACGTAATGAGATATATAGAACCTAATCAGGTCATGCATAAACCTCCAGCTTGAGTTGATGTGCTGTGATATATAGTACTCCCTCCATTTCAAATTATACTTAATATATGTTTTAACTTTTCTAGATACATAGATTTTGCTATGTACCTGGATATACATTATTATGTCTAGATACATGGTTAAAGCAACAGAAATGACAAAACGTCTTATAATTTAGAGCTGAGGGAGTATATACATATGTACCTCTGTATATATAGCATCGTTGAGTATATGGCATTCCTCTAATGTAGCATACACATCGTACGTGTCATCCATCAAGGACAGCAACCCGAATGTCTTGGCAAACAGCATTCGCGCACGAGAGTATTCCTCCTCATGGAACACCCCACACGTCCAGAAGTAGTTCTCCACTAGCCGGTCTCGGGCGTAGTTTAGTTTCACATTGCCACAGAGATCCTTCCACCACCTGCAAAAATTGAATCAAAGGTTAATTGACTGACTGATCATCAACATAAATAATTAGGCAGGATTATATAATAGGAAACGTAGTCAGCACTTACAATGACAGGTCCTTTAGCTCCCTGAGGTGAAGAAACCTGAGCAAGTCAAAGTCCAGCCTCGCGAGCTCCAAGAGCACGGCGTCGTGCTCCTCTTCTTTGCCATACTCTACGACGTAGTGCATCGTCTCCAACCGCTTTGGCAGGCGTGCGAGTGGGATGTCGAGGGCACGGGACACTTGCTCTTCCAGTGGCGACGGGAGCCTGCCTTTCATGGACGCAAGGTGCCGCCTGGAGAAGGAGATGGCTTCGTCGAGGGCCTGCTCACCAGGTGTTGCCTTGTGAGCCGCGTTGTATAGGCTCAGTAAGCCCCTCGGATCACTGGCCAGACTTTCACTGAAACTGCCCGTCCTTTCATCTCTGAATCTGTCGAATACATCTGTCAAGGTAGCGTACTTGTGTGTTATATACGCTTGCTGCATAGGCATGGAATGAACGAGAATCTGTAGACGACACATTTATACGTATTATTACGACGACGTATACCTGCAGGGACCCAGACGCCATGTTGCCTAAGTAGACGAAAGCGAAGAGCAACGATCTGGAGGCCGTCGTCCAAACTCTCGCAGCTGTTGATGCGTTTTAACGCGGCGTCAACCTCCTGGCGGAAGTGGTTGTCGATGCCGAGGCGTTGGAGCGTGTCCACTAGCGGCACCATGTCAGCCACGCTCCTCGTAGCCTCGCCGCCAGCGTCGAACATCCGGCGGCGCACTTCTCCGTTGAGCTGGTGCGCCCTCTCTCTCATCCGCTCCTCCGACTCCTGCACACATTACACAGTGAATATATATATATATAGCACGCACACACACACATACGTACTTGTGAGACGGGTGGGGCGTAGGTGACGAAGAAGGCGCCGGCGGTGGCAAACTGGCAACCGTCAGCCCAGCGCCGGTCTCCTCCAGGCTCGCAGGAGGAGCTGCAGCAACCGTGTTCGGAGCCATACCATGATTTCGTGAGCGAAACCGTGTGTGTCGTGCAGCAAGTTCGTCGATCAGCAGCTGGCTCGCTGCTTGCACTTGCACTTGCATGCACTGCTTACTCTACTCTCTCTATTGCTATCTATATTTATACAGAGCGATCGAGCAACAACACATGAGTGGGGACGATGCTTACTAATAATAGAGGTATGGCGATATGGCTTTGCTGACGACGACTTAATTATAACCTAACCTGCATGAATCAGGAATGAATCCAAGCAACTGGTAAAATAAAAACCTCGTGTGGTTCACGTGTGCTTACAGTATTCTATAAGTCCTGTATGGGTGCATTGCACCCCATTCCAAAGGAATTTCTGCACGAGCTCAAAGCTTATATGATAATTGATTTATAGATTAAGAAGTACATAACGCGGGTCTCTCTCTCTCTCTCTCTCCTCTTCCGATCTAGTGTTTCCTAAAAGTTTCTTAGACCAGTTTCCCACCACGTTCCACAAATTATCACACCAACCATATCGACACTATACTTCATCTCTCTCTTCATTTGTCATCCGAGCATGTACGATTCATGTTTATAATCAGGCATTATATTCGGATCCTGTGTGTGCTGTGTTTTGTTTCTCTCTCTGGTGCAAAGAGGTCTTCTCATCATCGTCTCCAAACCCTCGAGAAACCTCACTAATAAGAGCTCCAAGCTATCGCTGCTATCAGGGCAACTTGTAGTCATTGCCTAGAGGCCTCTCCTTTATCTCCAATGAAACCGCCAGAGGGAAAGAAGGAGAGGAGCCCATCCCTCATTTATAATTGAGTCGTTCCTTTAGGTTTAGTTTCACTATTATAGATATATCATTACTGTCAGGTCTCAAACCCCATCACTGTCGATTTTGCTCGGCTGTGGACTATGGTGAAAGTGGACAGTGAAAATGGATATAATCACTGACAATTTGCAAATCAGCGGTGAAAAGCAAATAAAAAATTTTAAAAACTTCGCGCCGCCACAATTGACATCCTCGTCCTCGTCCTCACCCGCGCGGTGGCTATCCTTGCCCTACAAGAGTGAACGCACTGTATGACAATTTCCACAAATCCTCATCTGCGCCATCCTCATCCTCGTCCTAGCCCACGCGGTGGCTATCCTTGTCCTGGTTGCCCAGGTCTGTCAGCATGAAGAAGGGCAGCGAGTCCTTGATGCCACCACACCGGAGAGAGGTCCCCCCTTCTAGATGTGCTAGAAGAGGGGCAGGGAGTGGGCTCCCGTCATCTGGCCGAATTGTCGCGATGCATGCCGACATCAGTGAGAGAGGGGTCGGGAGGGAGGGAGAGAGGGGCCAAGAGGAAGAGAGAGAGTGGTGGCCGGGAGGGAGTGCCAGTGACCAAGAGAGAGGGATAGGGTTTGGTGTCTGCTTATATATTTTCTTCGTTTTTATCGTCAGATTGTGTCTTGAACCGACAGCGAAAAAACTAGTCTGGTTTTCATTGTCATTTCGAGGATACAACCTGACCATGAAAAATATTATCACTACCGACTCCATTAGGTCAAAGTGAAAATAATTTTCACCGGTGGATTCATTACAAACCTGCGGTAATAATGTTCGTCGATCAGCAGCTGGCTCGCTGCTTGCACTTGCATACACTGCTTACTCTACTCCGTATTGCTATGGATATTTATACAGAGCGATCGAGCAACAACACATGAGTGGGGACGATACTTATACTATAATAGGTATGGCGATGGCTTTTCCTGACGGCGAATTAATTTATAACCTAGACCTGCATGAATCAGGAAAGAATCCAAGCAAATGTAAAATGTAAAATAAAAACCCCGTGGTTCACGTGTGTGCTTACAGTATTCTATAAGTCGTATCGGTGCATTGCGCACGAGCTCAAAGCCCCATCACTGTCGGTTGCAGTAAAAGTGGGCATTGAAAATGGATATAATCACTGACAATTTGCAAACCAGCGGTGAAAAGCAAATAAAAATTTAAAAACCTCACGCCACCACAAAGAAAATAGAAACAAAGAAAAATGGCATTACTAGAAAATAGAAACAAAGAAAAAATGGCAAATGTCCATCATCATTCCCAGGCAAAGCCTGTATCATTTGCACTCACATGATCCTTCTTGCTATACTTGTATGTTCAAACAGTAATTATGTACTTATTATAAAAATCGCATTCTGTAACAAACAAAGCTAAGAACTCAAGTTAAGTAATAAAATGAGATCTGAATATACGCATCCTTTTCTGTTGGTAAATACACAAATTCAATTATCAATTAGAACTGAACTTACATTCAGAACGAAAACTCCTTGATAGAATATAAAAGTGAAGAACAGTGCGTATGAGATACCTGATTCATGGACAGAGAAACTAAGGCCCGTTGCGATCATTCCTGCCGGTCTTGCTACATGAGCAAATGAGCATGTTAAAATCACATCGATCTTGCTACATGAGCATACGAGCAGGTTTCCACCAGTCAATCATAAAAGAAATAATACCCTAGCAGGGATAGGGGCGGTCACTGACCTGCCGCTGGCCGCGTCATCATTCGTGGCAGTGGTAGAGACTAGCGAGGAACCAATGGTGTGCTGCCATCCATAAATCCTGATTTGCATCACCGCCAAGCAGTAGATCTCAAGGCCCAAGCACCTAGTGGGGCCGTGCTCCACCATTGGGGTGGAGATCACCACGGAGAGGGCGCCACGGCCACCACCACAAAGAGGAGTGTCAGAAGGTCGTCGCCACCTACCGGCAGATGGGATGGACGCCATATTTTCGTACCTCCAGTTGCCAGCCAAAATAGTCGCCGCCAACCACTCGAACTCGAGAGATGGGATGGATGCCACAATTTGTATTCAAATCACATAGACACACGGTCATAAAAAGCATAAAAATTTAACACACAAGGTCTTGCATGCTGCCGGGGAATCGATTTAACAGGTTGCGTGTGGTGGCCATATGACAATTGTGCATAGAAAAATAACGTGAGAGATCACCTTCGTCGGCAGATCCATATATATATGTGCACGTGACTATGTATGGAAATGTGTTCCAACATTAAATATAAATGTGCTCCAACAATGTATATAATTGTGATCCAACAATATATAAAATGTGCTCCAACAATGTATAGAAGTCTTCTAAATGAGTTCTTGCTTACACGGTTGGCTCAAGAAGCATAGAAATAAGAAAATCAATTGCACAGAAATCATGCTTGCCTGCGTTGGTAGCTCTTCATTTCTGCAAATCACCTATTCATACAAGGCTGCAACCAAAAATCAGATAAAAACATCATGGAAAAACAATTGTCGTAAAAATACATCAGTTTGCTTGTTGATTAATATGCATAAAAAATTGTTCCTGGCTTTTATGCATTTGATAGCCATGATTTGAATACACACTATATCAAGGATAAGCGTAGAAAAGTCTCAGCTTGGATGAAAAGAAGTCTATTTCTATGCATCAAAAGTCTCAGCTTTGATGTCCTCCGAAAAATAGCGGACACAGAACAAAACCGCCAAAAAAATAGCCAGCTACATACTCTGTTCCATCAGACGCTGAACAAATCGATCATGGTGGAGCGAACTCGTGGTGGATCCAGCTGCTGGTCTCTCGGGGTGCAGGGAACTGCTCGGGGCGGACCGAAAATTAAGACTTCAATTTCATTGCGCATCATATCAAGGAAAAGAATAAAAACAGTAATGACAAATCACAGAAAGTTTTGAATAACAAAGCATAGAAACCGTAATAGGAAGAAACAAGCCAGCAAGGTCCACGGACATTGAATCATGCGTGCACATCAGACATATACCACCACTAGAAACAACTAGTAGGAAGGGAAAAGTGTTTTCTACTAGCCTTCGTGCGGCAGATACATATTCCATGGCCACCAGGAGATCCTCAGCCATCAGCGCACACCAAGACCATGATGCCGCATCTCCTGCAGCCAAAAATCAGAAGAAGAAATTTCTTTTACAAATTCATTGCACATCGTATGAGAGAAAAAGCATAAAAGTTTAAATCAAAACTGCATAGAAAATTTGCTTGCTTATCATTCAAAACTGTTCTCCAATATGAGTGCAGAAAAAGGAAGCCAATATGAGGAGATCAGTTCAGAGCACCAGCAGGGAATATCATCGAGCACCTACTAGGCAGCAGTTACAGAATATGTATAGACTAATATGATACTACGGAAAGCAAGCAAGCATCGATTGTGAGCTGCAATTCAAAATTCTGATGCATCTTTAGGAGCAGATTGACGGATTTGTGTGCATCAAACAAGAGAAAAGAAAAGACATCAATTGCGAGCTGCAATTCAAAATTATTCACGGCAATATCAGAGATGAATAAAAGAATTAAAAAAACCTATCTGCAGGTCTTCTCACCAAAGAAGCTCTCGCCATGGGGTCGCGCAGGTGACGCGGTTGTCCAGTTGCTCACCATCCAAGCTCTCGCCATGGGCTCTTGCTTGACGGAGAGATGAAGGGGCACAAATATTAAATCTGGTGAAGATAGGAAGGGGTCGAGCTAGGGAGGAGGAAAGGATGCACCTTGTCGATTTGCTTGCTCGTCATCCCACTCGAAGCTCGCAAGGACACAGTGGTGGCTGGCTTTCTCGGACGCGGGTGACACGGAGGGGTGACGGACTGAACTACTACTTAATCGCGTCCAGTATCAGTTACTACACCCAATATTCCGAAATACTGAATAACGCTGAAACGCGAAAACTGATCTTTTTAAAAATAAAAATAAAATAAAAACGT